AATATTGCTACATATGGGCAGGCATACTAGATTAGGTGACATGGAATGAACAGTGTGTGGTAATTTTAAGATGAGTCGCAGGCATTCAGTTATTTGTGACCCTATTTGAGAAACCTAGGCTTAATGAAATTTACATGCTTTAAAATACATTGCAACATTTCTCGTTGCTTTGTACACCTTTGCAACGTTTCCCATGATATGTGCAACTTTGTCAAATAATGGAGAATGATTTTCCAATAGATCAACACATTGGGGATGTTTCCATTTGCTTTTTGCTTAACGGTAGAAATGACAGTGAAAATTCAACGCAGGACACAGTCACTCCAATTACAATGCCCTGCAACTAGTTTTGTCTCCTTCACAGCCATTTTTAGGGTTACCACACATCACTCCTCCCCACACTCCCTGGAGTTTAGTACAATGCTAACTTCAAATAATCATTAGCCTGCAGAGATCATATAGTTGCATGTATGACAATTTCTTTTAAAAGAAAAACATAAAAATCGTTTTGGAATTGATGTAATTCGATATTATCATCATTACTGTAACCCAGTCACTGTTTTTTATACGATTTGCCTGTGATCTTAGTTTTGAGAATTCTTGTAACTACGATGTAATTCATTAATTTACGGTAATATTGAGATTAAACTTTACTTACTTTTACTTTGTTTTTTTTTTTCATTTGCGAATCCTGCCATAGCTTCAGCATTGCTTGGTTCTGTTACAGCTTACCTTGAAAGACTTGACCAGTTCTTTGGAACCACAGATATTGGGAAATGTGAAAGGATGCCACTGCAGCTGCTGTTTAGTTCAGATCATTTCAGTTTATTTCCCTCTACATTTTGACTAATGCTAGGTTACAGACTTAACAACTTAGGTCACAGGAAAATATTGCTTTAGAATTAATGTGAAAGTTTGAAAATGATGGCCAAATGAACCATTAGGTTTTCAAGTTGGCCACCATAATACCAATTACGTTTAACATAAATACCAGCTATGAACCTGACAGAGCAAAGTTAAATACAGAAATAAATGAATAAATAAATAAGAACATAACAATTGAAACCAAAAAAAAAGAAACAGTTAATAACAATTGATAACAATTAAACAAAATACAAAAGATTTATATTTCTTTAAAAAGTGATACGGACAAGTTTTGAAAGACAGAATAGGGACGTTCTGATGATTTCTGTAATTGGTAAGAAGACATAAGACACTCTTCACAATTTGTGCAGCCCTCCTAATCCAAAAGACAAAACATTTGAGGCATTATGTGAACTACTGCAACAACATTTCAAGTTCATCGATTGGAAGTTGCAGAACCCTATAGGTTTAAGATATTTGCCAGCCACTTGTAATTTTGGCGAATTCCTGAACTGCTCACCTCTGTGACAAGTTTGTGTGTGGTATTCAGAATCCTGTGACCAAAAAAACCCCGTTGAGTGTAGTAAAGTCAATTTTTATTTAAACTCACGCAGAATATTACTGCAAATCATTGCTCTTAAATATAAGGAAGGAAAAGAAATGTTCCAATTTTAGGTTCATTGTGCAGAGTTTGGGACACCTAAATAGTTTGTAGAAGTAACCGAATAGGTGACTCAAAACAAAAATACGAGTACAAGGAATAAAGAAAGAAATAGTTGTTTTAGATGAAAAGTATTAGTTTATTAATTAAAGGGTAGTTAAAGATGATATAAAAATTCAGCAAATAATAACAGTATAAACATCAATCATCAAACTATAAAACGGCTTGATTTTCTTAATACTAATAACATCAATAGATATAGAATTCCAAAGATTGGTACCATTGTAACAGAGAGAATGAATGCCATATTGAGTGGTATGAACCCATTTAACAAGCAGAGTATCATGCCATGATTTATGTGTGTAATAGGAATGAATGGAAGATACTGGATGAGGTAAGTCAGTTAAGCACTCCATAGAGGCGACTGTTACCGTTTCATGAAGAGTTCAGCTTTAATCAGGTTCCTCTAGGTCGTTCTGTCTTTCCTCGCTGTCTCCAAGAATCTAGAAAAATGTTCTTGTGCTTCAGGTTTCTTTTCACGGTATCCTTGAATCTTAGTCTAGGTCCTCCTTGATTTTTCTTTCCATCGCGTAACTGGGATACAAGAGCTGCCTTGGAAGCCAGGCAAAGTCCATCTCCACATGGCTGAGCCATCTCAGGTTCGTCTGAATTAAAATATAAGCCACAGGTGGTACGCCAGTTTTCTCTAGAATCACTTTGTCATTTTGTCTTTCCAAGATATGTTCATTATCTCCCTGAGATGGCACATCAAGTAGGAGTGTAGCTTCTTCACTTGTGACTGCCACTTGGAACTAGTGTTGCACATAGTGAAACTGCCCTGCATGCCGTCGTAAAGAAGGAGAATTCAAACATGACCCTCCGAGTTCTAGTTCGCATGCTCTGACCACTGAGCTACTGGAACACTAATGGCGAGCAGGGTTGGAATTTAAATACAAGTACACCAGACTTTTGGATTTGCATTGTTCTGATCAGTCTAATATTTTTTTTCTTGTACTTAGAAAATCCAAATAAGGCCAACAATGCTTTTGACTATGCCTTGGTCAGAGAAGACAAAAGAACAATTAAAGTGCACCATTGGAAGCCTTGAGTACACCAGCTGTGATGAGTCGGACTTCTCAGAGGACGAAAATGGAGTCCAGAGACTCTACGGGTACCTTGTTAAAATAATCCCCTGGGCAAGATCAGGACTTACAAGAGTGAAAAGAAGCCTTGATGATGCTGCTCTTTAAGGCTCACTACTTGGGAAAGGGCAAACTTTTTGCCAAGGAGAGAGCATACTTGTCAGCAAGGAACAATCGACAGTCTCAACTGGGCAGTGGGGCGCCCACCTGCATTGACACCAACATCCAGTCAACTGGTGTCTTTAAGAGCAGTAGCAACCCTATCGTAATCAACTTCAAGAGCAGCAGAGAACCCATTGTCATAACTTTAAGAGCAGCAGAGACCCCATGGTGATCAACTTGAGTGGTAGCAACGTTGTCGACAACCAGAACACTGAGTCCAGTTCAGTCCTTGACTGCTGCTTCCAGCGTTACTTCTACAGTTTTGACATCAACTGGCACACAACCAGGCAGCAGTAAAAGACCAAAAAAGAAGGCCTGTTGAGGGACCACTTCGCCAGAATTTTAAAGACTGATCACAACAAAACGTTTCCTTTTTGAATAACTATACAAATGCCATAAAACGTCTCTCGTTCGAGGCAGTCAAACAGTTTAGTTTGTGAACTACATTTTACATATATTTTGCCACATTTACAACTTTCATTGGAATGAAATATTTAGAGCTTTCTTATGATTTCAAGCTTCTCCCCGAATTTATGGGGAATGTAATCTTTAGCATTGATTTGTTACTGTTGGCATATTTAAAGTTCAGCTATTGGTTAGACAATATAGCTCCATCAAAAGCAACATATCACTTTAAGTTAAAGCTTCTCCCTGAATTTATAGGAAATGTCGTTTTTGGTCATCGAGGGTTCGTGAAGAATCAACACGTTGCTGCTGGCTCTCTTGGTTAAGCAATATATATTTCATTAACAGCAACTTACAACTTGAGCTTGATCATTATAAGTTGGGTAGTCCAGCTGTTGTCGACCAAAAAAAAGCGCGAATTGTTCAAATTTGTGATACAAGCATGAAACTTTCACAGATTGTTAAGGGCCCTAAGGGAAATACTTTCTGATGTAGGGCCAAGCCAAATTAAGCTCTGGGGTCCAGATCTGCGAATGCCCCAATTTTGCTAGCATGGAAACGAGGCTAAAAATGAAAAATGCTTAAATGAAAGAGTTTTAGGAAAATAACCATCAGTTATCACAAAACTGAATAATTTGTAGTGCATTTTGATAAACTTCAGCTTTTAATGCAGTCACGTGACCAGTTATAACATTTTTAATTATCAGGCTTGGGTACCATGTGGTGAAATTTTGTTTACACGATTATTCAATGTTTTGTGCATTACAATCACTGAAGAACTGATTTTTAGCCCACAGATATACCAAAAAAGTGAGAAGTGTTTTATTTCTTTTTAATGTGACCACTTAAAAAAGTCTATTTTCTAGCTGTTTATCTTTTTTCTTTACGATTCACTTTGCTGTTTGTTTTGTTTATAATTTAGAATAATAAATTAATACTGCATGAGGACAAAGGATTTCTTGTCTGTTTGCCATTGTGCCCAAGTGATTAAAATCATCCCATTTGTCTTTGGCGATAGCAAGGGAATCTATTTAGTATACAATGTACCACTCAGACCCAGGTCTCTCACAGTTTTCAATATGGCAACATCCATGAAGTCCAGCTCTCTCCAGCTCTCTCAGGTAAGACAACATTTGGTACAATAACTAGCTTTCTTCGGGAAATTTCATGGCAATTTTATAAGAACAAAACACTGAATGTAAAATGGAGCTTTTGTTATTAACTAAAGGCAATTAGTCATGTCAACTGTGGCGTTTCTGTAGGATTGGAATCAGTTTTCTAATTAGCTCTCCGACCTATTTTGAAAGTTTGAGAGTTCTGAATATGAGCCCTTTGGCGATAGTGCTAGGCTAGTTAAACCCATCTTTGCAGATTTTTTATCATCGAGCGAGCCTTGAAGTCACCCTATAAACTGAGTTAAAAATTTATTTTCAGCTGAACATGGATTGGGGGAAATGCATAATCTGCCAGAAAACTAAACACAGGAGTCTTCAATGTCCTGCAAATTCAATCCGAAAAGACCCAGGCATAGGGTACAGCACTTTCGTCAAGGCTGTGAAGGAATTAAAGGAAATTGGGATAATTGTAACTTAATTTCTTGATGAAACTAAACATGACATCAAAAATGTTCGTCTTGAAAACAAAGCTTCTTGGCACAAGTCCTGCAGAGACAATTATAATATTACTAAATTAAAGCTTGCAAAGAAAAAACGAAAACAAGCTGACGTGGAAGAAGAAGAAAAGGGTGTGACGCAGATGGTAGTGAAATGGCCCTATCTAGTCCTATAAAATCCAGGCGTAGTCTTACCCCTTTTGATCCCAAAATCTTGCGGTGCTTCTTTTGCGAGAAAAATGATTTCGAAAGCAACTTATGTCTTGCTTCTACCCTGGAATTGGACGAGACAGTCAGACTTTCAACTGGCGACCTCATAACAATCGAAGCAAAGTATCATGCAGCTTGTTTAGTTAAACTGTATAATAGGGCAAGACCATTACAGAAACAATGCTCCTATGCTACCGACAGCTCATCAGTTGACCTTGAAGAGTTAGCATTTGCAGAGCTAAAAGGTTACATTGAGGAATGCCTGGAACAGGAAGCGCCAGGAGTGCTGACACTCTCTGAGTTAGTGAAATTTTATCAATGTAAACTCAGGGAGAGAGCAGCTGAGAGTGGAGAAACCAATGCTACCCATCTAAAGGAAAGAGTATTAGAGGCAGTCCCAGACCTTATGGCTCACCCAGAAGGCAGAGAAGTCATATTAGCTTCAAGACATGACATAGGAGGGATATTGACAGAAGCGAAAAGAAGATATTCTAATGCATGGTGTCTTGCAAGAGCAGCTCATATAGAGAGGAAGGACATCCTAAAAGTAGATACCGGTAACTCTTTCAATGGAAAATTTTCCCGAGAATGCCAGAAGAATTCAATTCCTGCCTCACTGGTCTTGTTAGTTGGAATGCTTATCAAGGGTCCCACCACCAAGATTGATCCCTCAAATAATCAGGCGTGTGTGTCTGTCTCACAACTTATTTTGTTTAACAGTGTAGCAAGACCTCGTCATCGCCCAGAAGCAAATGGTAGTACCCATCATATACAGTCCAGAGAGTGTCCGCTGCCTATAGATACAGGGTTGAATATACACCGAGCAACAAGGGACAGAGCCCTTATTGATGCATTTTATAACCTTGGTTTGAGCATATCGTATGACAGGTTATTGACGGTGTCTACTGAAACAACCAACTGCGTCATCGACAGGTAAAGTATGAGAATCACTGAGAATCGTATGATACTCTTTTCTTTCGATTTTCAGGACGAGATATCATACAATGTGTTCACTTCTTCCCCTTGTTTTATCGTTATCGTTAGCGGTTCCACCTCTGCCTTTTCTAACTCTGGTTGGAACCGTGTGATATTGCTTTGTTCGTGTTATTTTCATAGCGGGATCTTGCTCCTGAGAAAGCTTTGAATAATCCTATATAATTGATTATAGTGCAATATCAATTCTCACTATTGAAAATCACTATCATTGAAGGGCTACATCCAGATAACTGTTAACATGTAAATGCAAAACCTGAATCACTAACCAATATGAAGTCGAAGTCATTTCACAACGAGGCGATCGAGACAAAACTGAATCAAACATGTTTAGTGGCACGGGTAAGCACTTGCGCGTTTTGTTTTAGTCACACGATTTGACTGAAGCACAATAGGCTTTGCTATATGCAAATGTGACCCTCCACAGGATTTTAATGCTAAAGGTAAAAGCACGTGCACGACACGCTTTCACTTTAAAACAAAAGAATTTATTTTAACACGCTTTAGCACGCTTGCAATCTTGCCTCATTAGCAATTTCTTTTGTTTCAGAGGACACGCTTGAGACAATTAAGCGTGAGCAAGTCGAACAAAAGAACGTGTTAAAGTTTTCAAACAAAAGCCCCGTGCTAAAAAGCACAACACGCTTTCAGTGTGCGCAAAAAAGCACTCAAGGCGTGTTATCTAAAAGCCTTTAAGTGGTGATTTTCAAATGGCTACGGTTACGATCAAATTCCAAAACAGTCTCAATTGGTATATTTGATTCACTTCGATCAGTTATCAATGCTGATTAAATCCGCTGAAAACCCAAGCCATTTTTATCATCTTAGCAGTTTTAGTTATCAAGCGTGTTCAGTGTGTCTTACCCAAATTACACGGTAAGCGTGCTTACATAATTCGCACACTTACCGTAACATATGGCACGCTACAAAAAAACAAAAGGTCTAGCGTGTTGAATTTACCAAAACAAAGGCAAGTGTGTCCGTCTTTGTTTTTTCAATTTAATATGTACATATGCGTGATCTACGGCACGCTAAGCGTTTCGTGCAAGCGTGTTGTGCAAGCGTGTCGTGAGCGTGCTTTCACCTTTAGCATCAAATTCCTGTGGAAGGTCACAAATAATAACGTGTAGAAAAGGCAAGTCTGAATTGCTTCTGACAGTTATCTAAAATCGCTCTTAATCTTTATCACTATTTTCTATTAGGTACAACAGTAAAGGCGTGGTGTGCCAGTCTTAGCTAAGGAGGGAGCTATTTACAACTGCTGCTGTAGATAATATCACAACACAAGTTCCACCAGTTCACAATCATCATTCCATGGAACAGCGATCTCCCTGGTACAACACCTGTCAGACACAGAGAACGGAACCACGAGAGTCATAGACACCTTCGATCCAAAGAAGTGTTCTTCTAAAACCACAACTGAACTCCCAGCTTGCTACAGAGACGTCGCACCAATGCCGCTTTCCAATAAAGAACTGAAAGCTCCTGCTCTAGGTCAACAGTCACTTGAATCTTCTGATTCTACTTGAAATGATAAGGACGATGAAAAGGACTGGCTATCAGGTGCATAAGAGTTATATAACAAGGAAGAACTTGATCCGAAGGATTTTGTTCCATGGGAAGCTTACAGAGCCTCCAAAACGCCGCTCTCCATCTATGAGCCTGCGAAAGTCAAGTTGCTCCCTATGTTTACTGAGAATGCACATTCATTGGCTATGATAGCACATAGCATGAAAGTCATCAAAGCGGCTGTGCAGCACCTTTTAACCCCTTGCAAAAGCCAGTTATCATCCTAGGCCAATCTTTATATGCCTTGGCAAAGCAGATCCAGTGCACGCTTCCTGAATTTGATTAAGACAAGTTCTTGGCCATGATGGGAGACTCCATATCGAGATGGCTTCATTGAAAATGCTAGGAAAGTGGCTTACTGGTTGCGGATGGTCAGAGATCATGTATAGTGCGGGGGTCCAACTCAAGGGATTGCAGAATTGTTTCTAACTGCAAGTTATGTGACACGCACGACACGCACATCAAGTGATAGCAGCAAGTCTTCATATTCTGCAGAAGAAGAAAGCGTACAGTGCATACAAGGATAAACTTGAAGAGACTGAGCAGAGCCTAACATTTGAAGGCTGGAAAAACACAATGAAAAAGAAGTCACCACATTTTCTGTTCTGGGGACTGGTCTTACATTTAGAGCTCACCTGTCTACGCCTTGTGGGGGCCTTCAGAGAAGCCAACTTTGCACTCTTTGTTGATGCAATCTGACAGATACTACCTTGGCTGTTTGCGATGGACCACACAAACTATGCTAGGTGGCTGGCTGTGAATTATCAGGATATGCAGGTTCTCTCTAAGTACCCAGATGTGTACAAGCATTTCAGCGATGGTGCATTTGTCGTACAAAAAACCAACAGAGCCTTCTCCTCCATAGCGTTAGATCATGCCCACGAGCAGGTGAATGCCTTAGTAGAAGGCCAAGGTGGAGCAGTTGGTCTCACTGAAAATCCTGCAGCCCTACGAAGATGGATGGTAGCAGGCCCCGGGCTGTCGCAAATGGTAGAAGAATTTGAGGGAAGCTTTACTGTATCTACGGAATGAGATCACCATGAACAGAAACCAGGTGTGCAATCTACATTTTTAAAAGATGTGGTCAACCCTGTCTTGCTTTGAGGAACTTGGTAACCCCTTTACTGAAGAGAGCGAGAACCTAATGGCGATTCACACTAAAGATATTATGGACGATAGCGTTGTCGCAACAGCAAAGAATGCACACAAGATTGGTGAGGAACAATTCTGTTTATTTGTCAAAGAAAGATTCCTTGACCGTAGTAAGCCAGTTACAGATCCACTTAAGAAGAACAATCTCCCTACATTTAGTACTCCAACTAAGAATGCTGTATCGAAAGACCAGGCAAAAGTCAAACTGTTGAAAGAGGACTGTTCCCTATTTGGACGCCTGTACATTGCTTGTCAAACCTTTGACGGAAACCTGGATGAGTTTTTTTCCCATGAAAATCAACCTTGGCCACCATCCCTTTCAGACCAAGGACATCTGCGTGGAGGACAAAAAGCCAACTTGCTGAAGTGCCTGCCACAAGCAACCTCGCCAGTATTGACACCTCTAGTAGATGCCGTAATTCTCGATGGAGCGGTTATTGTTCAAATGCTGGAGCTAAAAACATCACACACCTTCGGCCAATACTTCAGTATAGTATTTGCTCCATATGTCCTCAAGCAACTGGAGAATGCCAATGGTGTTGACCTTGTGTGGGATGTCTATCTAGGTGATTCATTAAAGAAATCACTGTGAGAGAAGCAAGGTGCAGGACAACGTCGCAAAGTAATGGGATCTACAAGAATTCCAAGCAACTGGAAAGGTTTCCTGAGAGTCGATGGCAGCAAGGAAGAGCTATTCAAGCTGCTTGCAGACAAGGTATGTATAGATTTAGGATGTTTGCCTGCTTTGTCAATACTTATCATAGCAATAGATCAACAGAATATGTTCACTAGAATACATTAGTGAATCCATTAATGAAATTATCTATGACATAACATATTTCAGGTCGTTTCATTGGCACTGCCTGAAGACAAAGAGGTTTACTTGACTCACGGTAGCAGTGTGCTAACTTCCAGCAACAGATCTGAAATGAGCAACCTTGCGCTGTGCACCCACAAAGAAGCCGACACTCACCTGATGATCCACGCTCTTGATGCGTCATTAAGAGGTCAACGACACAGATGTGATTGTTCTCTCCCTTTCAGTTGTCAGCACTCTCCCATTGATGAATTTTGGATAACATGTGGTTCAGGGAAGAATGTGCAACAGATGCCTGCGCACGTCGTCGCTTCATCCTTAGGTCCCTCTAAAGTGTCCGCGTTGCCAATGTTCCATACCTTGACAGGGTCCGACACAGTTTCATTCTTCCGCAACCGTGGAAAGAAGTCTGCATGGGATGTTTGGAACGTCTTTCCCGAGTTGACCCCAGTTCTGTGCACTTTGGAAGCTTCACAAGAGATCATCACGAAAGAATCACTTGCTGTCTTGGAAAGGTTGTGGTACTTCTCTATGACCGAACAAGCAGTCTATTAAAAGTCAACAAAGCACGCCAGGAGCTATTCTGCAAGAAATCAAGGGAATTTGACAACATACCGCAAACTAAAGAAGCGCTTGAGCAGCACATCAGACGAGCAGTACTTCAGGGAGCTCATACTTGGGGCCAAACCCTCTTGTGCCAGCCCGCACTTCCTAGCCCTGCAGACTGGGGATGGTAGCGTCAAGCACATGGCTGGTCACCATATTGGACGACTCTTAAACAAGCAAAAGACACCTGCCGTGAACTTATCTACTGTGGATGTAAAACTTCATGCAGGGGGAGATGCAAGTGTATGAAGGCTAATCTGGTGTGCACCAGCCTCTGCAAATGTGGCGGAAATTGCTAACAGCAATAGTTAAAGAACACTCGAGTGATAAAGTATATATATGTAGTGTATATATAAAGCCCATTACAAGATATGTAAGCCTCAAATTTGTACAAAGATGATAGGTTTTGAGTCCTAGAAGCAAAACATGAAAAAACATGATTGATATGTTTTGTGTTAGGTATCAACTGATGCAAAAAGAAAGCCTGTATCATCCATGTAGCAGAACAAATTGTGCACATATGATTGTTTCAATCATTGTTATAAAGCCCATCACACAATATATAAGCCTCAGAATTTCACTTGAGGGATAGTTTTTGAGTTCAAGAAGCAAAGTATTGTTAGTCGTTTTTGTGTTAGATATGAACTGACATTAAAAAGTTCTAAGGAAAGTCCATACTTGTATTTATATTTCTGTATATCAGTCTAAAGGAAACATGACAAATCGATGTCTTCACGTTTCAGTTCATTGTAAGATGGCTTTTACAGTTATGCATAGTGTGTGTTAGTAGTTGCGTTTTACATTTTTGACAAAATATGTAAGAAAAGAACCGAATCCCCTGCAATTATGCTCCATAAAACATTGAAAAATCGTGTAATCAAAATTTCACCACAGGGTACCCAAGCCTAATAAAAAACGTTATGTGCTATCTCCAAATCATTATTTATTATTTATTTAGCTTGTTTGAAGTGCTTTACCTACTTATAAGTGCATTTTACAGTGGACGTTTTATCATTTTGTTTGCTTTTGTTTTAGTCCTAGTCTTTACAAAGTTTCCTGTTGGACCTGATGAGGATGAGGGCAAGTGTTGGGCACCGTCAAAACAAAGATAAACGCCAAATGTTGAGCACACAGATTTGCTTGTCCTGGCTGTATAGGTATCAAACATTTCCGCCTTGTTAGATTTCACTTTCTCGTTTAGATGTATTGCTCAATGTAGCTCTCTCTTGATGTGTTATGCCAAAAGATTTGCTTTCCGTGTCCAATATGTATTTACAATTGCTTGCTCTCTTGTTTGATGTATAGCTCAATGTTTAGAACTTTCGTTTTCCATTACATTCTTTCTTTCCGACTTGTACTTTTAGGTATCGTAGCAATAAATAGAATAATAGGTGGTTTATATTTTGTCTATGTATTTAAGTTCCATGAGACAAACGTGGGAATTACATTTTAATGAGAAATTACTCAATAGTTATGAACTATCCAAAGGACTGGGACTGAGCAACTGTCGCCATTCAAGTGCAACATCGTCAGGATCAAAAAATGCAGCAAACAAGGAAGTAGGAATAAAAATTCTCAGTTTTAGTCAAGATATGATCAACAGGGAAAATGTATGGCCTTTCATATTTTAATAACGCCAAGAGCTAGACCAGAGCAAAGACTTCAAACTTGTACAAGTGAATGTTAGCGTACTGGAGTGTACTATGTAAAAAAATAAAGATTCATTAATTAACCAAAAAAAATCTTAAAACAAATCATAGGATAAGAAACATGTTTTTCTTAAATTAAAACATTTATGTACTGTATATACGCAAACTGGACTGATAATTTTTAAGCCAGTAAATTGCATTTACCATTTCCAGTAAGACAAAGTGCTCCCGAAGCAACCAAAGGTAAACGTTCTGTTCCAGCTAATGGCAATCAACAAGAAATGTTGGACTCTTTTTCTATGGGGTGGCTTTTTAAAACAACGTTGTTGGAAGAAGTGAAAAGGCTTTAAGCAAAGATGCAAGGTAATATGGGTAAATGAAATCTGTCTTTGTTCTGCTGTTAAATGCTGACTTTCTTCGGAATATGCCACCATTTGAAAGTGTCAAGGAATTAAGAAAGTATCTGTTAGAGCAACACCGAGATGATCTATTGCTGGCATCAGACACCACCTTCAGATTTGGTTATTTTGGTGAGGGGGACAGGAAATTTACCATCACCTCAGAAATACAAACCACAGTATTGTCATTGGTTAAGAAAGGAACGGTTACAATGTGGGTGGACCCACATCTACCCAAGGAGAATCCATGAGATTCAGTATCTGAAAAGACAAAGAAAGGTATGTGAACAAATTTTGTTATAGTGCATTTATGTAAAATTTTGTTGGCTCTTCCCACAACTTCTGTGATTGACGAATCTGTGGGAGACTTTGAGAGCTCTTGTTTTAATTCACGTCTTTCGAGGTTCAGGGAGAAACAGAGTGAACCTGCCGACTTTAAACTGCAACATTTGGCCTGAATGCTGATAAGGAATATTGAATTTTCTTTCCATCATTCATCAGGGCAATTAATGAATATTCACTGATCACCTAGCATTATTTCAAAATTTTATCTCGTATCCATCAGGTAACTATCAAGTTTAAACGTGATGTGCAATTCTTTACGCTCTTTGAAGTGCTATTTTTTTAAATTTCGAATTGGTTATTGTCAGTTTGTTTTCAGTACTATTCCTATCAATCACTCTTTCTTTTACTAACGCTTATAGAGCACATTTGCTGCATGTGCATGCGGGCATTTGCATAAGGCTTTTTAAATCTTAATTACGCTGTGACCGCATGCTCTTTTTCCTAACTGTAAATTTTGATCACCCCGTGATAAATCTGGAAAAATTCTAACAAACTGGAGCAAACCTGCAATTGCACGCTCTTTTACCCAACTTTTCTTTGCCTGATCATAAGTTTAATAACGGTGATGTGAATGGTACACCACTTTACAACAATAGAAAAAATTTCGAATTTGTTCATTCTTAGTGTGCGTATATCAAGTTATGCATGCATGCGGGAAGTTTGGAAAGCATGAAAGATGCGTAAGAGTTGCATGAGGCGACATCCGCGTACAACTCTAGCTTCTTGAATGCTCTCCAAACTTCTAAGAGCATCCATAACTCAATATACGCACAGCTAAAACCATGAGGAAATTCTTCTACAACATACCTGACAAAAATGCTGTCTTTTCGATTAACTACAAAATTCTCATAACATGCAACAACAAACGCCTCTCTTGGCTGATTACAAACAAGCCACAATCAGTTGGGTTTGAATGACAATTCTTTCTGTAAAACTGAGAAAAAAATTTCCTTATTTATTCGTTAACGACAAAGAAAACTACCAAGAAACAAAGGTAAGAGTCTTAAAGTCCACGTAAAGTTAAAATACTCACATGTTCGCAAGAAGTCGTGGATTATGGGTTGGATTTGATTAAAAGATGTTTATGTTTTTCTTCTCAAAATCTAGAACACTTTTTTTTCACCGAAGATGACTGTCATCCTACTTTAACCTTATATTCATTTACGAACAATGGCTGGTCATTACGGCTTCCTGAAAAGACCTGGCAGCAGTTGTTTTTTGTGAGTAATAAATGTCTTGTTGTGTAATTTGTTTTGTTATTGCACGGGAAATTTTCCTACTTCAGTCAGATTGTTCAGCGAGAACAAAAGTGCATAAATTTTCGCTGAGCTTACTTTACAATTAACTTGTTTCATATGATATAAAACAAACGTTCAAAACGGAGGACACCATACAAATTGGATTATTTTCCAACACAGACCAATTTGTGGTCTTTTCCCCTTAAATGTCAGTCTTTACGGCAGACTTTTCAATGAATCATACAGGCTCTATTATTTGCGAAACATCTTCACCGCTTTTGCTGATGGTCTGAGTGGCTAGAAAGAAGCTAAATTCCAGAAAAAGTCTAGAATGTTTTTTATCTTTGCTGTCGATTTTTGGGTACTTAGCAAAATAGACGAAAAACACAGCTGAACACGTCTTCATGAACAAAATCTTTATTTCCGCACGCCCTTGCATAAATAAAGATTTTATTCACAGCGGCTTAATAGGACTCATATAGGGCAAGCACACCTGCTATGTTATAACTTACGACTTAATGCAACCTTAAATTCACTATTTTTTGGCTTTATTCATAAAAATACAAACTCATTGCACGAGCTTACATCACTGCCAATAGACGATGTTCATATTCCCTGACGGCCTTGGGACAGGAGACTTCAGAGCATGATTGCGAGGCTGAAGCGGGGAACTTTTTGGCAAAAACACAAACAAACATTGGTTAGTCGCGGCTGAATCACTGCAAAACGATAAAATCAGCAAAAAACTGTAAGATTTCAAAGCTCAGACCATACGGGTAAGCTAAAGGGATATCTGTTTCAAAAAACAAAACTGTGGGAAGAGCTGGTCATCTTAACAGTAAAATTTAAACAGCCACGAAGCCAAAAGAAGAAACAAGAAGTATTCAAGAAAATGGTATATTGTGTCAAAATGTCAATACTCGAATCCTTTTTATATAATTTTATTCTTCTTATTATTCTTTTTTGCTTGTGTGTATCTGTAGTGTGGAGTTTAAACTGCTCAGTATTATTGTCTATACCAAACTCTGTGTTCAACTGCGTGCACGTTCTTGTACTCTCGCACAGTTGTTATCGAAGATAATGTAACTTAAATTTAAAAATAAACTTTACCTCGTCATCTTTGTTCAAACCGGTTTAACTTCCTTAAAATGTTTATATTAAATTATAAATTCGCTTACCAAGCGCTCTTCTCATCAAAATAATTATGGTGAGGAGTAATAATGAGCAGATCTTCCTTTTGTTGTTTGAAATAATGATCTCTCAAGTATATAACCCCTTCGGAACTTTACAATGTTAAAAATTTTCCTTAAATCCAGCAAACTTAGCCGCACTGTCTCATCCTAACTGTCTATTTCATTTCTAGCTAAATCCAAGAAAAAATGGCAAAAACGCAACAACCAGCAACGCCATAAAACGTCCGGACAAGACATAGATGCAGGTGAAAGGAGGGTAAGCATGGATTAACACATGTTGTTTTCAACAAAGAGCTAAATTATTACAT